ACTGAAATACACTGCTGAGGGGAGCAGCGGGTGAGACAGGAGAGGTCTGCTGCAGCATATGTGGGTGAGCTCCTTGCCCAGGAGTAGAACTCACATCACAGTGGTGACAGCATGATAGCGCTGAGACATAACCCCCTACACCACAAGGGAGGCCATGACAGTTGCATCTTGCAAGGATTTTGTCTTTTATCTCTGGACCATGGGCTTCAATTTACATGGCCCAGTGAGGATCAGACTCTGGCTCGTGCGGGGGTCATGCGATGCAGGAGAGGGTGGTGACAAAAGCCACTGTCCTTTGATTATTCTTGTCCTGCTTCTGGAAGCTGGTGCTGGGGAGGGATGATCTCTTTACTGTGTTTGTGGGGAGGCCTTGGGATGTGTGGGGGAGGAGGGATGAGGGGTGGGTGATGGTGAATTTGAGCAGCTCAGCTGTTAGTTTCCAGCAGCTGGTGGGTGCCAAGAGCTGTGCAATTAAGCGCTAAGCCCCTCCCCTAGCCCCTAGCTGGCCTGTCTACTCCCCGAAAACCCTTTCTTCTCTTGGGGACTCGTCCCCTTGCCAGCTGCCAGCTCCTCCAGGTGTTTCCTGTTCTCTTTGTTTTTGGGCTGGCTGGCTGGGTGCGTGATACTCTGTCTGTTTTGCCTTCCTGTTAGCCAATGGCAGCCGGCGTGGGAGTAGCCAGTGCCCCTGTATCTGGGGAGAAGCGACCACAAGCAGCAGCTGCCTCCCGGCACCTGCCTCTCTGAGGGTGTAAACAGTCCCAGCCCAGGAGGAGCAAGGCCTCCTCGCCAGAGCAGGGGAGGGGTTCTGACTAGAGGGAGCTTGGGGCTGGAGGTCATTTCACAAGGAAAATGTCCAGAAGCACAACACCCCAATTCCCCTTCCCTTAGGAAAAGGGTAGGGGTCAGGATCTAAAAAGTGGGTTGTCCCAAAGACCTTGGCCTGTTTGCCTTGGATACTAACCCTATATGACAAGTCTGGGTGGCATTGGGTTACCATTGGTCGTTGTCTACCTGATGTGAAGGGCATTGTTCTCGGGGCCAAGAAAAAAGTGCACAGGGCCTCACCCCAGACCTGAAACGGTGGCTCCCACCTTCACCAAGCCACTGACCCAGCTGGCCAGTGCAAAGACAAAGCTGGCCCGGGTTCTGCCTGGCCACTCTCCCCGGGTAGACCGGCCCGTAATGTCATAAAATCCTCAGGCTGACTGCAGGTTGGTATGGCTTCCCTGAGACTGGAGATGAGGAATCGAAGCCTTGGGGAGGTGAAGCAAATGGCTCTGGGCACACAGCAGCTAAGTGTCAGCCCAAATCCAGGATTAGCTGAATACAATGGGGGAAAAAAGAGAAACAAAATTTAAGGCAAAACTGGAGCGGGTGTTGCATTTTCTGATTCTCCCTGCAGCCCCTAGCCTTTGGTCTATTATATATTTGTAATAGTCTATGGACGCCGGGAACTTTCATATCAAGCCACAGTCCAAGTTGCAGGTAATCATAAAAGATAAGAAGTCTCAAACCTCACGTGTAAACACCTGTTATACCCAACCTCAACCTCAGCTTGTCTTGCCTCTGTGAAAGTCTTGCCATTTATCTCAGTTTTAAGTGATGTTTATGACCTTCTGAACCCTTATAGGGAGAAGTCACCACTCCCTCATGCATGTGCATGGTGTTTTATGGGCCTATGTCTTCCAGGGATTTCTTTCTTTCTGGTCTCGACGGCATATTTCACCTCTGCTATTGCTCAATCTCCGCCTTAGCCTCTGGGTGGAATACAGTGTATGAATGTGAATCTGACAGTAGGGAAGCCTGGGACGAACCAGGTATTAGTATGGACACTTCAGTGGGCTCCCCCGGGTCACCCCATCTCTCGCTCCTTTGCCCTCTCCTCTGTCCAGTGGAACAATAGAGACCCACCAGCCCATGGATTGTTCCAGTCTCAGCTGCTCATTCCTCAGCCCCGGTGCCAAACACAGCCTCCTTGTATTCATTGTGACCCACATCCTTTCTTACAGGACTGGCTCAGGGTGGAGGCTTCAGTCTCAGTGGCTTCTCTTGTTTGCACAGAAGGAAAATAATCTCTCTGTCAGTCTGCTTGACCAGCAGGTCTTTCCCATGTCACCACCCAGGTGGAAAAAAAATGGAGCACTGATTGTGTTCTGGGATGAGATTCAAAGGTCCCTAGGAGGTTGGGACAGGATGGCGGGGACTAAGATGACAGTGCTATCTGGATAGGAGGAGCTTGAGCTGCCCTGGAGCTCAGGGTCTGCTCGTGGGTGCCGTGGCCGCTTGAGAGGCGTCCTTTCAGGTGTGAGTTTTCAGCTTTTTTCTGGCCAGCAGACAATGTATGTCTTGGAGTAGGAGCCTTCTTCTCTCCAGAGGTGGGTCTGGTGAGAGGCATGGGGTGCGGGGGGAGGGGGGGCAGAGATGAGAGCAAGGTTTTGTCCTCGGGGTGTTGCCAGTCTATAGGAGGTGATGGGATAATTATACAGGTGCATGAACACGGATGGCTTGGGATCAAATGCAAACCAATGGAATCAGAGAGAGGTTGCATGAGACCCGGGTGGCTGGAGGAGTGGAGGTGATCAAGGTGGGTGAGGCGGCTTGAGCAAGCATTGGGAAAGAGGAGTTTTGAGAAATGCCTTTACTATCTTGTGCCAGACACAAGACACTCAAAGCAGCTCTGAGCACAAACACCCGGGCCAACACCAACAGCGGGAGGCCAGGAGGCAGGTGGAGGCCAGGTAGCTGCAGAGCGTGAGCTCTGTTTCCTGTGTCCCCTGGGCAGTTACTCTGCTCCCCACTGCCTGCCGCCCTCACCCCAGCACCACCAGTACAGCCCTTCTGCAGAAAACAGTGGGGGTGTTTGGTCTAGAAGAAACCTTGTCTGTGGCCTCTGAATCAGAAGCTTGCCTATGTTATACCTTTTTACTATGTTAAGACATAAAGGAGGTTCCCTTTTATTCTGTATTTATTGAGATCTCTTAGTACCCCATAAAACATTTTAAAAAATTAAAAAAAAAAAAGAGTTCTCTTAGTACCTTCACCTAGAGTTCCCACTAAACCTCCCAAATCAGACTGGACTGAAGTCGGAAGGCAGTGGAGAACGGAGACGAAAACCTGAGATTCAGGAATGTGGGCGGTGGGTGGGGAACGGTGGGGGGACTGTTCACCTCTACTCTGTGTTTCCGAAACCTTTCTGGCGTCAGTGGTCTCAGAGTGACAGACATGAAGTACTTTGAAAAACATTTCAAGTGCCGTGTGGCCCCGACCTCCGGGCAGGTGTGGCTGGGGGGCTGGAGAGGACAGCAGCCCTGCCTTTCTTAGCACACCCTCCCTGTGCATCTGTCCAGCACTGGCTGGCCCACTGGCTCACTCTCCTCCTCACTGAGAGGGAGGGGGCAGGTGTTTTAACCCCCACTTTACTGAGGAACCCAGGCCTGGGGCAGCCTAGACGACTTGTCCGGAAGTGCACACGCAGACGGAGAGCTGAGAGTGGAAGCAGGCCCCCTGGCTCCAGCCCCTCCTTTCCACCTACCTGCTTAAAGTTTGAGGGCATGAATCTGCCAAGATCCCCCTAGAACATCCCAAACTGGTTATTATTTAACAGCAGGGCACCCAGGATTCACCATTTGTCCCCAAGCTCTTAGGTTTCCCATTTAAGACAATTTCTGAAGAAATGAAACTACCCCATCAAGGGGTTTTGTGTCAGGAGCCTCAAAGCATTAAGTCCCCGACTACTGCAGCCCCAAATGGAGTCCCAGTCCAGGGATGGGCTCAGCACAGAGGCAGAGGAGGGTGCGGCAGAGCGTCTCCCAGGACAGATGGGTAGGCCAGCCCCAGCGCCTGCGCTTTGAACCAACTTTTTGTTTTCCAGCCAAACTTCCAGCATCAGTTTCCCTCTCACCTCCCCTGCCCCTGGCAGCCCCCCTCCCATTCTGTCTTTGGACGGCTGAGGAGCCCACCGGCTCTGGAGGCATGGGGGCTATTCTCCTTTATGACCCGGAGATGGATGAAAGGAGGCTTGCAACTGGTGTGGGGCAACTGTTGCCATCTGTCTGGTGGGACGTCACCAGGGAGGGTCTTCCCCATTCACTCCTTCACGCACCGCTGGGCCTGGGCCTTTTGTTTGGCCAAGGGGTGGGGGCTGTGGTGGTGCCATGGAGAGAGGCAGCGGGTGAGAGAAGCAGCTTCTTTGTGTCTGGACCAATTTTCAGTGACTCAGGAGGATAATTTGCATGAGGAAGCTGCCCAAACCCCAAAGCGCTGAACCAAGGACAACCTCTAGTCCTCTTCCCACTTCAAACCCTGATTCTTCTCCCTCTTCAGCCAAACAGCTCCCCGGGGTCAGAGAGACTAGCCCAGTTCCTCAGCAGGGATAGGAGCAAGAATAGCTCTTGCTCTCTGGTCCTCTCTGTCCACTTTCTGTCCCCATTCCTTTCCTAGTTCCAGGTGGATCCGTGTCTTCCTCCCTCCCTACCCCCAGCCTGAACCAACCCACATCAAGTGCCCTGTTCCTCCCCACCCCCATCAGTCCCTTAAGCTCTTCTCTTTTTGTTTAGTTTCTGTGGACTAGGCCTGGCAGGCGGAGGGGCCAAAGCAGAGAAAGGCCCATTAGCCACTGAGCAGCTGAGCAGGAAAAGAAAGAGTCTGAATAAAGGCTGTGGGGTTGGCAGTCCTCCAGCCCAGCTCCTGGGCTTTGAATAACACCCCAGGCCAGGGGCTGGGGATCAGTGTGGGGGAGTCTTTGGGGCATTTAATTATTTAAAGGTCTCAATAGAAGGAGCTAAGTCCCCGGAGAAGGGGGAGGGTAGGCAGATGGTGTGCCCAAGGAGCTGGGACACTAGGGCAGGGTGGGAGAGGATGGTGTGGGGGGACAGAGGGAGGTTGGAGCAAGAGGTCAGGGCCCCAGAGTATGAGAATGGAGGTGAAACAGAGCTGGCCCTTCCAGGCCCAGCAGGCCCTGCAAAGAGTTTTCCCTACACCATCTGGGGCAGGGGCTCAGGCTGTCCTTCCTGTACTCCTAACCACTGCTCCCCAACTTCAAAATTCATGTTTGCCCTAATCAAGATCCACTTTGGATACAGACAAAAGTGGTGAGGTATAGGGGATCACCTCTTTACCTCTCTTCTGGTACTCAGAGATGATCTGGGTTGGTTCACTGGGGACAGGCCCATGGCAGGATATCCTCTGGTTTCATTTTTTTGGCTGTTGCGGTAAAATATGTAACAGACAATTCACCATCTTGATTGGTTCATTTTATTGATATGTGGTGAAACCATTCAGCGAGCTGTTTGGAAATATTGAGAAGGCAGCTAGTCCTGCTGCTGGGCACACACTGCTTCAAGGCCTCTCTCTCTGCTGATATGGCAGGAAGAAGAGGTCTACGGGGTTCCCCAGCCAGGTTCTGGTCCAGCTCTGTCAGGTATTAGCTCTGTGACACAGTTTTGATACTGAACTTAAGGTCAGCGTTGCTGGGAGGGTGAAGCACCCAGATGAGTGCCGAGCTTCTGGTATGCACACAATGAGCGTAATTAAGTATTATTATTATTGTTATTGTTATTGTTGTTTTACCATTTGGATCAGCTACACAATGGCAACTGAGAGAAACAGGGAATTTGGGGACTGGGTCTGAGACCTCATGAGAATGTTCCAGGGTACAGAATTGCTTCTCTCTTTCTCTCATTTGTAATGAGCTCTGGTTGGAAATTGGTTTTCACCGTTCCTAAAACAGTAGCCAGGTCCACAAGCCCCTTTCCAGCTGAACCCTCTCGCACCTTCAGGGGCTGGACCGGCAGCCCCAGGCCCTTAGCTGCAAACGCCTGCCCAGACCCTGGCATTAGGGCACTTTGAGCGCTGCTGTCAGCCCCCTTTACAGATGGGATGGCCTGTTCAAGTGGTTAAGGGGTTCAGTACTTGGTTCTGCTTTCGGGGGTGAGGGGGGGGCTTTCCCACTCTATTTAGACCCTTCCAGGCGGCACGGTCACGGGCATGGGACTGTCACTGGTCGTGGAGGTGGAGGGGGAATGTACACGCTCAAGACGGCAGCCCAGGTAGGGAGTCTCAGTCTTGGCCTGTTCTGCCCCACAGGTGTGAGGTGGGGTTTTTCTGCACCTCCCAGCAGAGACCGTTCTCCCGTGTTCAACCTGCCGGGGCGGCGATGCCTCTCGGCGGGGCGGCTGCGCGAGGGAGCCCCGCTCCGCCCGATCAGGACCTGCCCAGCAAGGGTGGAGCGTCGGGCGGAGGGGAGAGCAGGCTGGGGGTGAGAGGGCAGGCAGGTGTCTGGCTCCCACGCGGATACGGGCCGGAGGAGGAGCCCTGGGCCACCCACCCACGTCCCCTCAACCGCCAGAGCAGCTGGCTCGGCCCTGGAGCCGCGGCCCGGCGCGCTCGCGGCTCTGCTCCCGCCGCTCGGCAACGGCGCGGCCTCGGGCCCCGCCCCCTCGGGCAGCCTTACCTTGGCAACAAGCTGCTGATTGGCGGGCCGGGGGCCGAGCGGGCCAATCAGAGCCCTCCCCGGCGCTCGGGGTTGGGTAGAAAATAATGGAAAAGGGTGGGGGCGGCGAGGGCGGGGCGCTAGGTGGTTTCCGAGCGCAGTTGCTGTCGAGGTTGCCTGTGAAGAATGGGGCCTTTCAGAAAGAGGGGGCAAGGCAGAGGGAGGGCCGAGGCGGGGCGGCCGCGGGGCCGGGTGCCCCTCCCGCCCGCCACCTGCTGCCGAGAGTCTCGGTCCCCTCAAGCTCCGCGGGTTCCCCGCTTCTCAGCCTCCTCCCGCCTGCAGCTGGGCTCACCAGGGACCCGGCCCACCCCTTCCCCAGCCACTCGAGAGGCTCTGGGTTTCTGTACCTTTAACCCGTTCCGGTCCTCTCAAAGCCCCTGTGGACCGGGGCGCTTATTTCCCGAAGTTTGTCACTCGGGCCCTCTTGTTCTCCCCGAGGGTCTGGGCTGCGCACCCCTCCCGCGGCCCGGTGGCCCGAGCTGCCGCCACCCACGCACCCACCCTCCAAACCAAGGTGCGCGCCGTCCCCGTTACACCGCCCCCGCCCAAGCCGAGTCATCAGCCCTGACGGAGTGCAAACTTCTGCGGACATAGCGTGTGAGCTTTGTAAGAGAGGGTGTCTTGAATAACGCGCCCCCCTCCCCCCCAGTAGCACACAAAGTAGCACTCAGAGGTGGGTGACCAGGGTCTGGCTCCAGCCTCTGCCCTGTACTGCCTGCATGACCTCCGGCTTAACGCTCCGAGCCTCAGTTTCTCCCGATGGACATGCTAATGACAATAGCATCCACCCCACCCCAGCATGACCTTGGCAGAATGCCTGGCTCACAAATCAAATGTCTGATCACCCCACGTTTCATCTCGGCCTTCGTTTCTTGGTTTGGCTGCTATGGATAACGATAGATTATAGGGACATTTAAAATTCCTATCAGTATAAATATAAAAATCAGAATAAAACGTAGTACATGTACTGTCAGTTAAAGCCTTAGCCTTGGCCTGGTCTGCCTTTTGCTCACCAGTTTTACCAAGGGGGAGATCTCTGGGCAAGACAAGATTCTTTTTCCCTCAAGGACTTATCTTCAAATTTCTCATGCAAAAATTTTAGAATAATAGTAAAAAAAAAAAAAACAAAAAAGAAGGATTTTATAATAGCAGCATCTGAGAATTGATAATAAATCTCTCTGTAATAGGACTTAACTTTCTTCTTTTTCATGGGGTTGTGGTGACCCTGTCTGATCGCTCCAGAACCCCACATCAGTGCTGATTGTAAGTTGTTCCCAAACGCCCCTCCTGAAGTCGTTTCTCACTTCCCAGAAACTCATCTCTTCTTCGCTCATTGCCTCCCCCCAGCATATACCACGGCATCCAGCTTTTCTTTTCTTTCTTTCTTTTTTTTTTTTTTTAAAGATTTATTTATTTATGCAAACAAGCGCTGGGGTACAGGCCAGAGATTGGGGGGGGGGGTGAGAGGATCCACCAGAGACATAGTGGGGAACAGAACCGGGAGAATAGCTGAAATACACTGCTGAGGGGAGCAGCAGGCAAGACAGGAGAGGTCTGCTGCGCCATGTGGGTTTCTCTCTGGCAGGCTGGGGATCGAACTCTCGTGCTAGAGGCTGCAGATTGCTCCATAGTGCAGTGCTTAACCCCTAGCGCCACCAGGGAAGCACCCAGCACCTAGCTTTTTTCAGCAAGCACAGAGATTGGCCATTTGGGCTTCCAGGGCCCTGGCGGCCGTCCAGCACTGTCACCTGCTGATGTCTGTTGATGTCAGAAGTTGGCTTGTGTTGATGTTTTGTATTGTTAGGAACAAAAACAATGATGTGTCTGGCACCTCAGTGCCAGGTGGTGGGGCCAGGGAGCACCCAGCTCTGGGTGCAGTCCACAGGGAGCTAGTTGACTCAGGTTTCAGTGCAGAGTCTATGCCAATAGGGACAAGTCAGTCCAAAGTGGCAGCTCTCAATTACCGTATCTGCAAAATGGGTGACCCACACCTGTCTCTTCATTACATAGATATTTTAGGAAAACCAATGAGGATGTACAACTGAAAGTACTCTCTATTTTGGTGGGGGGAAGGTATGTGTATGTGCGATGATGGACATGTCCATTTCACCCACAATTTTCAATGAACCCAAAAGAATATGATCCAACAAGTATTAATAAAAACTTATGAACCCAACTCTGGGCACGCTGATCTGGAGTGTGTAGAGGACTCATGCGATGTGATCTCTCTCGTTAAGGAATTCATGGTCCAACTAGTTGCACAATTGACTCTTGAGACATTGATAGGTGGCATTGACCACGTGGGGGGTTTATAACCGGGTTCTCTACCTGTCCTATCTTATCTGCAAGGTAGTCTGGTGATATGACAACGGAGCCACTAGGTGGATGCACCTCACTCAGGCCAGCACCATGGCTGTCCTTGGCTGGGCACAGGGGTCAGGGTCTCAAGCCATCCTCACTGCAGTGCTCGTGAGTCTCAGCCTGATGTCTGGTGGCCTGGGCTTGGGGGAGCCACTGTTTTCACCAGTGTCTTCCCTCCTTTGATGCTTCCCTCCACCTACAGTCACATACCTATCTGCTCCTGATGCTTTCTCACCTGCACCCACCCTCTGTCACCAGGTACAAATGCCATCACAACCATTGTAGCTGTAGCAGCTCTAGGGGTGAGCCCTGGGTGGGACACTGGGGGTACTGTTTCCCCCATCCCACCTGTGCTGGGAGGGAGGGCCTCTCTCTTCTCCCTCCTACAAGAGGAAGACGAGTGCCAGTGTTCTCACTGTCCCCCACAGTGCAGAGGGGTCTTTCCCTGCGGGGACTCCAGCTGGCTTCTTGGGAGCTAGTCTGGGATGGGGGTGGGAGTGGGGGTGGGTATTTTGTATCCCGCATGCTTGGCAGGCAGGTTCTAGCTCCAGATGCCCACTCCTGGGCTGGTAGATTTAGCTCTTTTCCTTTATGGGGATTGCTAACAAAGGCTCAGCCTAACTTCAGGGAAGGACTAGATGAGTAAAGTCACTATCATCTTTGAAAGTAAAAGACGGGGCATGACAATTAAAATAAAAACCAGTACCAAGTCTAGCCCACCAGACTGTCAAACTTACTAAAGTCTTAGGCAACATTCGGCCTTGTGGGGATGTGGGGAGAAGGGGGCTCAGGTACCATGGCTGTGAGCGGACATTTGTATGACCACTTTGGAGAGCGGATTGAGGGGAGCTAATGGAGGTGCGTTGCTCAGACTTCACAAGTTCCTTGGTTCTTAACTGATGGTGTTTTTGCCCCAGGGCACATTTGACAAAGCTGGAGATATTATTATTATTATTTTTTATTGTTGTGGGTGGCATGGCAATTTTTTTTTAAAGATTTATTTATTTATTTATACAAGAACTGGGGTATAGCCCAGATGTGCAGGAGGGTGAGAGAATTCAGCAGAGACAGAGCAGGGAACAGAACAGGCAGACTGACGAAATACACTGCTGAGGGGAGCAGCAGGTGCGACAGGAGAGATCTGCAACGCCATGTGGGACCCTCACCGGCTGGCTGGGATTGAACTGGCACTGCAGAGGCTGTGGACATCTTCACAGAGCTGTGGCGCTCAACCGCCTGTGCCACCAGGGGAGGCCCTATTCTTATTGTTTTGACTGAGGCACAGCAGGTGCTATTGGCATCTAGTGGGCAGAGGGCAGGGCTGCTGCTGATCATCCTACCACCCACAGGCAGCCAGAGCTGTCCCCAGCCTCTGCCCAACACAGAATTACCCAGACCCACATAGTGCCTTGGTGTGTATGATATGGTCGCAGAGGCAAGACTAAAGTATGTTCACAGCATTGTTTCCAACATAAAATACTGAAAATAATCTAAATGTCTATCAAAAGCAGAAGAGAGAAATAAATGTAGGTGTATTCATGCAAGAAATGAATGAACTGGAGTTACAAAAATCAGTATATAAAACCATGAACATACTGTAGTGTTCAATGAAAGAAGCACAATGATACCAAAGCTTGTGAAGTTTAAAGACACAAACATCTCTTTACAGTTTAAGGCTACAAAGAAATACGTAATAAAATTGTAAAAGTACATAAACCTCAGAAGAGAATTCACCTCTGGAGAGGAAGGGATGGGAACGGGAAGAGGTCAAAGGGGACCTAATATGAGTTGCAATAACTTATTTCCTTTTTTTAAAAAAAGATTTATTTATTTATGCATACAAGAACTGGGGTACAGGCCAGAGGTGCGGGGGCTGAGAGGACTCACCAGAGACAGAGTGGGGAGCAGAACAGGCAGATGGACTGAATACACTGTGGAGGGGAGCAGCGGGCAAGGCAGGAGAGATCTGCTGAGCCATGTGGGCAGCTCCCTGGCTGGCCGGGGATCAAACTCAGGCTGCAGAGGCTGCGGACAGCCTCACAGTGCTGTGCTTAACCCCTTGTGCCACCAGGGAGGCCCGCAATGTCTATTTTTTTTTTTTTTAAGATATATTTATTTATTTATTTCACAAGCACTGGGTACAGTCAGAAGCGTGGGAGGGTGAGAGAATTCACCAGAGCCAGAGCAGGGAGCAGAGCAGGCAGAAGGACTGAAGTACACTGCTGAGGGGAGCAGCGGGCGGCAGGAGAGGTCTGCGCGCCACGTGGGACCCTCGCTGGCGCCGGGGATCAAACCGGTGCTGCAGAGGCTGCGGGCAGCTTCGCAGCTCAGCACTCAACCACTGTGCCACCGGGGAGGCCCATTGTCTTATTTTCTTAAAAATTTCTCTAAAGCAAGTATATCAGCATATTAATATTTGTTAAATTGGGTGATACTGCTCAGATCTTTGTTATATTGCTTTCATGCTTCATTATAGGTCTGACTTATTTCAGAATCAATTTAAAAAAGATGTAGACTCAGGCATATATGTGAATTGGTTTCTTTTTTAGCTTGAATTATAATTGACCTATAGAACACTATATTAGTTTCAGGTGTATAATATAATGACTCAATATTTGTATGCACTGCTAAACAATCGCCACAGTGAGTCTAGTTAACATCCACCACCACACACATTTACTAGTATTTGTTCCAGTGGTGAGAACTTTCAAGATCTACACTCTCAGCAATTTTTAATTATACAGTGCAGTATGGTTAACTATAGTCACCACACTGTACATTAAATCCCCAGGACTTATTTTATAGCTGGGTCAATACCTTTGACCCCTTCGCACATTTTGTCCACTCTCCCACCTTTGTTCTCTGACAACCACCAATCTATTGTCTGTATTCATGAGTTCAGTTTGTCTTGTTCTTCTCTCCTTCCTCCCCCTCCTTCTCCTCCCTCCTCCTGACTCACAGATAAGTGAGAGCTTACAGTATTTGTCTTTTTCAGTCTGACATATTTCACTTAGTGTAATGCCCTAGGTATTGTCTGTGTTATCACAAATGGCAACATTTCATTATTTTTTAACCATTGAATAACATTTTATTGTATGTGTGTGTATATATATATAT